GCCCTCTTGGAGCGCTCTTGGGAGCCTTGGGAACGATCTTGGAGCCCTCCTGGGCCATCTGGGAGTCATCGTGAAGCCTCGGATTGCCATCGGAAGCGACAAGGCGAGAAAACCCAGAACATTGATTATCCTAAGGTTTGGGAAAGATTTTAACCTCTTCGGGGCCTCCTGGGGGGGAGCTCTTTGGCCACTTGGAGCCGTCTTGAAGCGGTCTTGGGGCCTCTTGAAGCATCGTGGGAACCATCTTGAGGCATTTTGGGATATCTTGAGGTATCTTGGAGGTCATCTTGGGCTCCCCCAGGCGCTCTTGGAGTCATCTGAAGCAGTGCCCCCCCCCAGGAGGCCCAAATGTGGCCAAAACCTAAGTAACATCAATGATTTTGGCAGTCTCGCCGAGACCTCTTGGAGCGTTTTGGGTGCCTCTGCGAGGCCTCTTGGGGCCTGTTGGGGGTCTCTTGGGAGCCTCTTGGGGGCATCATGAGGGCATCTTGGGGGTTTCTTGGGACCACATGGGGCCATCTTGGGGCCATCTCGGGGCCTCTTGGGGCCTCCTGGGCGCCTCTTGGGGCCATCTTGGACGAGATCGATCGCAGGAGGGGGGGTACTAAATTAGACCCCCCTCTCAAGAGGCCACAGTGGTGCCCAAACCGTAGTAAAACCAATGATTGTGCCTTCCTCGCCGAGGCCGTTCTGGACGCCCCAACGCGTCGGGGAACCCCCCGTCGAGGTCCAGGGGAGGGGGTAGGGGGAGGGGTCAAGTTACCCCCTCCCCGCCCGCAAACCCTCTCGCTCACTCCCACCCGCCCTTCCAACACATACGTAGCACCCGAGTCTGGCCCGAGCCTCAGCATATTCAGCAGTCGTTATTGGATGGGCAGCTACTGGGGGCCAACCCGCCGCCGCCGCCTCCGCCTCCGCCGCCGCCGCCGCCGCCGCCGCCGCCGCAGCCGCCGCAGCCGCCGCAGCCGCAACCGCCGCAGCCGCCGCCGCCGCCAAGTGTACTCTGTATTGTTTTTTGACAGGGAGGGGGGGGGGCGCATCGGGTTGGCTGCGCATGTTCCGAATTTGGAGACAGAGTGTGTTTGTATTGTTTTTTACAAGGGATGGTGGGGGGGCGGTCGGCATGGACTCGGGTTGGCCCCCAGTCGCATGGGGGAGGGGGTGTTCACTAATAGGGAACAGTGATCAAGACCCCCTCCCCGCCCGCAAGCCGCCTCGCTGATTCCCACCCGCCCTCCCAACACATACGTAGAACCCGAGTCTGGCCCAAGTCTCAGCATATTCAGCAGTCGTTTTTGGATGGGCAGCTACTGGGGGCCAATCCGCCGCCGCCTCCGCCGCCGCCGCCGCCGCCGCCCGCCGCCGCCCGCCGCTGCCCGCCGCCGCCCCGCGCCGCGCCGCCGCCGCCGCCGCCTGCCGCCCGCCGGCCGCCTGCCGCCGCCGCGCCGCCGCCGCCGCAGCTGCCGCAGCCGCCGCCACCGCCGCCGCAGCCGCCGCAGCCGCCGCCGCCGCCAAGTGTACTTGACAGGATGGTGTGTGTGCGGGGGGGGGGGGGCGCATCCGGTTGGCTGCGCATGTTCCGAATTTGGAGGCACAGTGTGTTTTGTATTGTTTTTTTGTTCAAGGGATGGCGGGGGGTGTTGTCATGGTCCCTGGTTGGCCCCCAGTCGCCTGGGGGAGGGAGTGTTTACGAATAGGGAACAGTGATAAACCCCTCCCCGAGGAAACACCTTAAACCACCTACGCCCAGAGGGCTGGTGGGATTGATACCACGCCATGCGGGGAGGGGTCGGGGGGGGGGTGGCCCAGCGAGATCCGCCCTGGGCCCAGGGGCCTCAATATCCCTTTTGTCGAGCCAGGGACATGTCTGGCCCGCCCAAGATGGATACAGGCCTCCCCCGTAGCCATTGTGGCTCAAGGCAGTTCTGGCCTGAGGGTGGCTGCGACGCCTTCTCGAACGGCGCCCCGGCGCAGCGAAGAGACAAGCTCGGCGGAAATGGCCCGCTCTTCCTCGCTGATGATCTCCTGCGCCGTCGCGGTCGGCGCCGTCGTGTCGATGGCCTCTCTGGGGCTCAGCTTCGTGGGGACGCCGGCGACGGCGGGCCTGCGTGCTGGCCAGCGCGAGTCCAGCGTGGAGATGCAGTTCTTCGGCGGGTCGTCGTCGCCGGCACCGTCGCGCCCGTCGTCGCCGGCGGGAGGGGACTGGCGCGCCAGGGCACGGGCTGACCTCTACTCGCAGAGCGGGGTGTACGTGGTCTCCTTCTCCATCCTGTTCCTCTGCCTGTGTGTGCTGAGCGGCAACACGGGGCCCGGGTACTTCGGCGGTTTCTTCGACTACAAGCTGTAGGCGGCCGCTGGTGCCAGAGGCGCTTCCGCTCGCCGGCCAGGCTGGGGAACGCCCGCTGCCAGCTGCCAGCTGGAAGCCGCGCAGTAGCTGCTAGTTGCGGACCAATGCAGGGTGTAAACATAAATCGTTCGGAGCTCCGCGCGGATCTCCTGGACGCCGCCTCTGGCGCGCTCCGCGCGCCAGGCAGGGGGCTCCAGTGCCGATCCAACAATTCCGCGCGGAGCTCCGAACGTTCTATAGTGTTGCCTTTGTTGTTCCTTCAGCTAGAGGCGATCTTTTGACGTTTCTTTCTTGCAGTTGGGAGCGGGCTGGGCCGACGGGCCGCCACACCGCACCATCTGCGCGACGTGGGTTTTTCGAGCTCCTGGGGCACGCTCCCTGGGTGCGGCGAGCGTTTTGACGCTTATGCATACGGCGACTGCGGTTGGAATCCTGTAGCATTGTGTTCTCCACAGCGCAGCAATAATCATCACAGTGTCCTGCATCACGCCATGCCACACAAACACGAGCTGCGTAACATATCACAAACGAGCGCGGCAGTGCTTTCCCCGTAGCCATTGTGGCTCAAGGCAGTTCTGGCCTGAGGGTGGCTGCGACGCCTTCTCGAACGGCGCCCCGGCGCAGCGAAGAGACAAGCTCGGCGGAAATGGCCCGCTCTTCCTCGCTGATGATCTCCTGCGCCGTCGCGGTCGGCGCCGTCGTGTCGATGGCCTCTCTGGGGCTCAGCTTCGTGGGGACGCCGGCGACGGCGGGCCTGCGTGCTGGCCAGCGCGAGTCCAGCGTGGAGATGCAGTTCTTCGGCGGGTCGTCGTCGCCGGCACCGTCGCGCCCGTCGTCGCCGGCGGGAGGGGACTGGCGCGCCAGGGCACGGGCTGACCTCTACTCGCAGAGCGGGGTGTACGTGGTCTCCTTCTCCATCCTGTTCCTCTGCCTGTGTGTGCTGAGCGGCAACACGGGGCCCGGGTACTTCGGCGGCTTCTTCGACTACAAGCTGTAGGCGGCCGCTGGTGCCAGAGGCGCTTCCGCTCGCCGGCCAGGCCGGGCAGCCGAACGCCCGCTGCCAGCTGCCAGCTGGAAGCCGTGCGGCAGGTGCTAGTCGCAAGCAGTGGCGAAGCGTCCTGGCGCGCCTATAGTCCTACCAAACAATGTTCTAAGAACCTTTTGTGGTTCCCACGGAATGTTCTTAGAACATGTCTGGTTGGGACTGTCTTGTTTCATCACATCGGGTTTATGTTCTAAGAACATTGTTTTTGCTATTAGAACATTTCGGGGTTCTAAGAACATTTCGTGGTAGGACTAGGAATGCCGGGACGGTCGGCCCCTGCTCACTAGTCGAGGGCCAATACAGGGTGTAAACATAAATCGTTTGGAGCTCCGCGCGGATCTCCTGGACGCCGCCCCCTGGCGCGCTCCGCGCGCCAGGCAGGGGGCTCCAGCGCCAATCCGAGAACTCCGCGCGGAGTTCTGAACGTTTTATGGTGTTGCCTTTGTTGTTCCTCGAGCTAGAGGCGCTTTTTTGATGTATTCTCTTGCAGTTGGGAGCGGGCTGGGCTGACGGGCCGCCACACCGCACCATCTGCGCGACGTGGGTTTTTCGAGCTCCTGGGGCACGCTCCCCGGGTGCGGCGAGCTTTTTGACAGCGTTCGCGCTCCGCGAGGTCCTGCGTCTGACGATTTTGCAGCCCACTCGACGTCGCAGAACAAAAATATGGATACATGCCTTCAAGAGGATCTTTAAACGGCCCAGTCGCCTCCAAGACGGCCCAACGACACAGCCGCAGGACGTCCCCAAACGGCCCACGATGTGGCCAAGGTGTCCCGCAGAGGCCCCAAGACGGCTCTGGAGAGGGACGCGACCGCAAAAATCGTCAGCATCCCAGTGAAATTTTGGCACTGGCTTCTTTTCCGCTCAATATGGCTTTACGACGGGCCCCAGAGGCTTCAAGCGGGCCCGGGAGGCCTGTGACAGTTCTTTGAGATGGACCATTACGCCCCAACAGGGTTCGTAGCCATATTAACCCAAGCTCGCATTGGCTCAAGTTTGGTGAGTCAGGCTACCTGATCATCAGTACTACTCATCCTACTCCTGCCTGCTAAGTGACACATCTCGTCGATGGCGGCCCGGCCACGACGGGCATCCCCCCCAAATGGTACGCGGAGCAGCGCGAAAAGACTTGTGCCGAGTGCCGCCTGCTCATCGACGAGGGCGGCGCCACCTACGACCGCCGCGACGTGAACCCCTCCACCGTCTGGTCCGTGCTGCTTGGGGAACCCGTGGACGGGCCCGGCGACGCGCGCCCCGTTGTCCCCGCCGATGGGTTCGGAGCCGTCACCTTCGCCATTTACAGCCGTGGCGACTGCCATCCTGCGGCGAGCAGCGGCGCGATCAACGGTGGCAGCAGCGGCGGTGGCCGTGACGATCCAGATCACTCGGAGTGGTCCGCGCATTTTCCGTACGCTTCCACACGGCCCGGCATGTACGATTTCGTAGCCACGGACGGCGGCAGCGGTACCGGCGTATGCAAGAACCGTCCGCGCCAACCTGCATCCGACGCAGTTGCGTGTCGTGTTCCACCGCTTGCTGGAGAGGCATGCCCAGCGCCCCATCGTCGGCCTGCTCAATTACCGCTTGTCTGGTGGCAGCCTCGAGTTCATGCGGCACGAAAGCGTGCGCAATCACCTGCACTTGGACGGTTGGTCTCTGTTTTTGATGTCTTCCTCCCAGGCACAGAGGGAGTCGGTCGAGGCTGGCATGTGCGACGCCTGGTCCCAGTGCCTGGGCGAGGCGTTGGCGGCCGACGGGCGGCAGCGCGACGACGAGGCAGCGGCAGACGCCACCGTCGCCGCCAGCACAGGCGCCACCAGCGTTGGGGACCTGTACCGCGCGGTGGAGGTGGCCTACTACCACAACAACCTCCACGAGTTTCTCAACTCCGTCCAGGCGAGGGTGCACGTGCCGAGGATATGGCGGTGCTCGACGCGCTGCGCAAGCTGGGCGGCGTCGCCACGGACCAATACTCCACTACTGTGGTGGTGTGGCGCCGCGGCGGCATCAAAGACGAGCATCTTGCACGCCTGGAGACGGCCCCATACCCCGTCAGGCTGGTCGAGTACAGCGGCACGAGGGAGACGGGTTCGTGCGGCGCCCTGGCTGCCATCGTGGAGGTGGCGGTGGGCGAGATCGCGCGGCCTGACGAGGTGCGCGGCCCAAACTCTGGCATCGCAGAAATGTTGGTGTCGCGGCTCGTGTTCGGCAGCACCCGGCGGTTTCGCGAGTGACAGAGGGTTCTTCGGACAGGCGGCTTGCGCACGTTTGTGTATGTTTGCCACCAGGGTCTCACGTGGCCAGTGCGAGCGCGACCTAGTTAATCACCCATCGGCCAATGACCTCAACCATCCACTGCCACCCGCGCCGTGAGCTACAGCCTGCCCCGCAGCGCCTCCGCGTCGTCCTCCTGCCCAGATCCTACGGGCGTCCTCAACGGGCTCTTGTGGTCGTATGTGGTGGCGCAGGCGTGTGGCATTTCTGGGTCGTTCTGCGCGTCGCACCCGTAGTGGAACGCCTCCTCAGGTTCGAGCGCATGCTCTGGCCAGAGGAAGCTCTCCGATCGCCTCGGCGACGTGGCCATGCCTTGCGTGAGCCCCAGCTATGCTTTGAGCTCGCCAACTTTGTCGGTCATCACCTTTGACGTGTTCCGAGTCAGCTTCGACATCGAGGGGCCGCAGGCGCTTGAGGCCACCACGGTCTGTGTGGAAGTCTTTCCACGACCTCCTCGAAGCGGTTAGCGACCAGCGGTGACCAAAGCGCGGGAGCCGAGGAGTGCCACCGGTGGGTTGCGCCGCACTCGCGCAGATGTGGTGGTGTGTTTCCGTGTGGTCGTGAAAGGAAACACCGCCAAAATAAGGCCCAGCATGGTTTCCAACATAGCCCCAAGATGCACACACGGTGAACAGCAATGGGATGCCATGGTCCTCGCCGCTCTGACGGCCCACGACGGTCACAAGATGGCCTTAAGTCAGGCGTGTCCCTCTACACGAGGAATTTTCAAGAATAGTCGAACAATAGTCTGGGGACGATTTTTATACTATTGCTGAGCATGTTGGGGGCAGTTTTTGAGGATGTTTGATTTGTCGTCCAAAATCCTCCTGTAGGGGGACACTCCTGACTTAAAAATGGCCCTGATCTCCTCCCAGGGTGGCCCTCGGACCACCCGAAGAGGCTCCGCGAGCCCCGAGGGACGACTCCAACAGGACCCGACGAGGCCCGAGGGGAGGCCCACTGGACTCCACGAGCGCCCCCGGGGCGGCGCCAAGACAGCCCCTCCTCCTCCTCCTCCTCCTCCTCCTCCTCCTCCTCCTCCTCCTCCTCCCCCCCTCCCCGGGAGGGCCTTGATATTGGCCCCGGAATGGGACGGGAGACGGTAACGCCGCCTCGAGGGGCGGAGGGCGCGTCGGCCCATTTCCCGTGCTCACGTGTGGTACCCGGCGTGGCGTTCTCGGTCGCTGTCGTGCCGCATCCGTCGGTGCACCTGGCCCAGTGACGACGAGCGAACAACACGCACCCATACCCACAGGGGGGACGGAGGGGGCTATGGGCGCGTGCTGGCGGATGGGGATCCCCGCTCGAATGGGAGTTTCCCCCCTGGGTCCGACAACCCGCACCCATGCCCATAGCCAGCCCTCCTCCTTCCGACCCTCCTACGGGTATGGGTGGGTGTTGTTCGCTCGTCAAGTGATTCGTCGACCGCCCGTTCGCCGTCCCGCATGCTTGTCGGTGCGCGTCTCCGTGCGCGTGTTTCGCCTCACGCGGCTCCGCGGCTCTTGTCCACAGGGTTCGGGAGTTGCGTGCGCACCTGCGGCACGGAGGTGGGTGATCTGCAGGGGGAGATGGAGCTAGGCAGGGAGCCGCGCGCGGCAAGGAACTACTTCTCGACGACGCCTATGCAGACGACCTCCTCTGGCCCGCATCTGCGAACTCTATGGGAGCTGGGGAGTGCAGCCAGGATAAAAATGAGCAGGAGTAGAAGGAGGGTGTTGGTAAGGAGGAGGAGGAGGAGGAGGCGCATAGAACCCAGAGGATGAAGAGGAGGAGGTGGAGGACCAGAGTAAGCCCAAGATGCACCACAGATTTTGCAAAACACCGACGCGTCCCAGGCCCCCTCATCAGTCCCTCGATACTTTCTTTCTTCACTCGGCGAAGCGCCCTCCTTGAAGGAGGAGCGCTCCACGGACCCGCAATTCGGCCGGGAGGCCCACCTCGCGGCTCACCGCCTTCATCAGTCGAGCTGCGCGGAATACAGTCGGACCGAGGTGCAAGGTCGAGGTCGGTTCGGGGAGGGTACCCTGATGTCTCTCGTGTTTGCTGGACGTTCTTGCGCATCCTGGGGGAGGGCACCCTCGAATGATCTTGAGATTGTGGAGTGGCTCTGGCCGGCGGAGGGTTTTTACTGGTGCTCTGGCCGGCGGAGGGCCTCCTGTTCTGGAGGGACGTCCTCTCGGCCCGGGTCCGGCTGACTGGCAGGGTGGTGCTCCAGAGTTCGAGGAAGTGCTCCGCGAGAAAGCCCCCGCTCCTGCAGAGCAGCCGCCCCCCTGCGTCCGTGCAGCTGCGGCTGCGCGCAGCAGCACGGGGCAGTCGGGGAAGCCTGCTTCCGAGAGCTCCGCAGTGACGCCTGCCAGCGTCCTCCGTCCGCGTCTCTGCTCCGCAGTGCTGGGCTTTGTGGCACTCTTTGATTGAACGCCCCTGAGGGGGCAGACACCGCCGCCGAGGTGAGGAGTGCGTGAGTAAGAGGCGTGAGGGAAAAGAGTCGTGCAGACCGTGCGGGGGGAATCTCACGCGCCGTACCTGGTGGGGCGGCGGATCGCTTCGCTCATTCCGCCGGCCCGTGCTGTGCCATCGCGGGCGTCTGCCTGCGCGTTCGGGGCCTCTTGGGGGCCGCGTGACCTCTTGGGGCCTCCTGGGGGCCTCCTGGGGGCGACAGGCTCGAGTCGGTGGTTCGTGTTTTCCCTCTTGGGGCCGTTTGGGGGCCGTCTGGGGCCGCCTTGGGGACGTCGTGGAGCCATCTTGGAGCATCGGTAAATCGAAAAGGTGAGAACGCCCGAGCCCCTCAAAAACCGAAAGAGAAATCGATCAACTGTGCCTCTGGGGGGCACTCTTGGGAGTGTTCTTGGAGGCCCCTTGGGCCGTCTGGGGGCCATCTTGGGCGTCCTGGAGTGATCTCTTCGTGTCCCGGAGGCATCTATGACCATCGAGAGGGCCTCTTGGGGGCCCCTGGGCCGCTCTTGGGGCTCTTGGGAGGCCCTCCTCCTCCTCCCCCTCCTCCTCCTCCTCCTCCTCCTCCTCCTCCCCCTCCTCCTCCCCCTCCTCCCCCTCCTCCTCCTCCTCCTCCTCCTCCTCCTCCTCCTCTTCCAGAACCATCTCTGACGGGACCTTGCTGGGGACCTGCCCCGGCCGGGTCCTTTTTGGGCGCGAACCCCGAGGGGCCGCCCCCCGCGCGCGCGAATTAGAAATACTGCTTCCAGTTACCGGAGATTTTAGCATGACTCTGGCCCGTTGGGCCGGCGAATTGTGAGGGGGGGCCATGCGGGAGCCACACAGGGTGGAATCGAGGCCTCCAAAGCGCAAGCTCGTGGCAATGCAACAGGACATGTGACCTCGGGAACACGAACTTGTAGTACTCTGCAAGGGACTGTTGCCTCGCGAACGCGATATCGTTAAAATTTACAATGGGTTGTGGCCTCGGGAGCACCATCGTGCCGTGAGCTACACGTTCGTGTGGCCTCGAGAGCACGAACTTGTCAGACTATACTAGGGAGTGCTGTTTCGGGAGCACGAGCGTGACTTCACTTGCAAGGGATTGCGGCCTCGGGAGCGTTCGTTTCAGTGCGCGAAAGATTGATCCGCCTCGAGAACAAGAGCTCCTAGAAAATTGTGATGGATTGTTGCGTGTACGATCTGATATGTGAACAATTGTATCCTCGGGGACGCGATCGCGTTGTAATTCCAGACGCTTCGTGGAACCCCACCAGCCCATCCAGAAACGATGCCCAGGCGAGTTGGTTTAATCATGGGTGTGGAGGAGCAAGCAGTGGAACACCGGGCTGGGGAAACCGTCATGCCCCAAGCGTTGGCCCAAGCGGCGGAGAAGGGATGAGGCCAGAGGATGCCGGAGGGGGAGGAGGAGTAGGAGGAGGCGGAGACGGAGGCGGATGGGGAGGGGGGGCGGCTGAAGGGAGGAGGGAGGAGGACGAGGAAGAGGATGGGGAGTATGGCGAGCTGAAAGGCCAGAGGCTTCTCGGATGCCTCTCGAAATCTTTTCGGATGTCTTTCGAGAGTTTCTTGGGGTCCTCTTGAGGCGTCGTGGGGTCCTCTTGGCGGTCCTGGGTGCCTCTTGGAGCGTCTTGGGTTCCTCGGGGCTCTCTCTGGGCAGCCCCTTGGGGATCTCTTGGGGGTCTGTTCGGGGCTCCTGGGCGCCCTCGTGAGACACTCTTGGGAGCCTTGGGGAACATCTTGAGGCCATTTGGGAAAAGAGATCGTTCGAATGAGGGGGGGTCCCCTGATTAGCCTTGTCCCCCCCGCCCTTCCCTCCACCCTCTGGAGGCCAAACCTGGCCCAACACCAGATGACAATCCATGGTGTCTGTCTTCTCGCGGAGGCCTTTTGGGGCGTTCCAGTGGGTCGCGGGGCGTCCCGTACAGGTCCAGGTGGGGCAGGGGTCTAGCATTAGGTCGGGCATGTCCCCTCTACAGGCGGATCTTGGACAAACAATATAAACACATAGTCAAACAAGATAGACACATCATCTCCATACTATGTGTATTTGACTTTTTTTAAATATCCCTCGTGTAGAGCGACATGCCCGACTTCAGTCTAGCACCTCTCGACCACAAGGCGCAGGCTGTCGCGCTCACTCCCGCCCGCCCTCCCACCACATAAGCAGCACCCGAGTGCCCCCTGTCACTTACGACAACGAGTGATGCCGGATATATTCAAATCCTTGGGTAATCACTCAGCAGGTACGTAATAGTTTGATTTCTGAATGGCCATCCGTTTTCCTCCCCTCCCGTTTCCTCCCCCTCCCCCTCTCTCTCCCTCCCTCCCTCCATTCCTTCCCTCCCTCCCTCTCTCCCCCTCCCCCTCTCTCTCCCTCCCTCCCCTCCTTCCCTCCATCCGTTTTCCTCCCCTCTCCCTCCCTCTCCTCCCCCTCCTCTTCCTCTTCGCCCCTGCATCCCCTCCTCTCCTCTCCTCCCCTCCGCCTCACTCCCTCCCCTTCTCGCCCCTTCCACACCCAGTCCCTCTCCTCCCCTCTATCGTCCCTCCCGTCCCCTCCATCCATCCATCCCCTGTGAAGGAGGTTCGAGTAGGAGGCTCGAGGTTCGAGGATGTCAGACTCTGGAGGCGCCTACCGTGGCCTGCGCGCCGGCAGCGTCCAGAGATCACGCTCAGAGACCACCCCCTGCGCGCCCCCTGTGCCGTCGAGACAGAGTGCCCCCTGTGGCGACGAGAAAGTTCCACGCCTGCCACGCTTGGCGAGCCCGGAGCGGATAGGGGGGCCACCACCAGCGCGCCCCGGGTAGCGTTGAGGAAGTGCCGCGCTTGCCACCCTTTGCGAACCCCAATCGGATAGGGGACCCCACCCCCCAACGCACCCCCTCTGGTTCAAGGACGTGCCACTCTTAATACGCTTTGCGAGTCCGTGATGGATAGGGGGCCGCCTCCATCGCAGCCCTTGTGGTGCTGAGGAATTGTCACACCTGCCCCCGAAAATGCTACCGCCACCACCCCCAGCGCACCCCCTGTAGTGTCGAGAAAGTGTCCCTCCAAACTCGAAAAGCGGGCCTGAAACGGATAGGGGGATCACCCCCATCGCAATTTTGCCGAGGAAGTTCCACGCCTGCCACGCCGCTTTGCGAGCCTGGGACGGATAGGGGGACCCCAAGCGCACCCCCTGTGGTGGCGAGGAAGTGCCATGCTTGCCACGCCTTGCGAGCCTGAAGCAGATATGGAGGACCACTCTCAGCGCACCCCCTGTGGTGTCGGGGAATTACCACGCCTGCCACGCCCCGCGACCCTGAGACGGATAGAGACCGCAGTGAGGGACCACCCCTTGCGCACCCCTTGTGGTGTGGAACCACTGCCACGCTTGCCACGCCCTGCGACCCTGAGACGGATAAAGACCATAGTGAGGGACCATCCTCTGCGCACCACCTGCGTTATGGAGAAAGGGCCACGCCTGCCACGCCTCGCGACCCTGAGACGGATAGAGACTGAAGTGGGGGACCACCACATGCGCAACGTCTTCGTCTGATGCGCGCGCGGGTGCAGGTGAGAAGGAGAGGGAGAAGGGGAAGGTGAGGGGAGGAGTAGGCGACGCGGGTGGGACGAACACCAGAACCTTACTAAGCATGTGGGGTGCAAAGTGGTCGCGGGGCGCCCGCGCATGCTCCAGATTTCGAAGCACAGTGCATTTGAGGTTGCAAGCTGACAGGGGTTGTTGGCCTGCGCGCAGCAAGCCATGTGAGAGCACCCTCGCCGCCCCCGCCAAAAGCAAAGCAAAGTGGTCGCGTGGCGCCCGCTCATGATCCAGATTTGGAAGCAGCATGGATTCTGGATTCATTTTGTCAAGGGTGGTTAGCTTGCGCGCAGCAAGTCATGTGAGCCGCCCCTCCGCCGCCCCTTTCAAACTCCAATGCAAAGTGGTCGCGGGTTAGCCGCGCATGCTCCAGATTTGGAGACGGCATAACCGCCGACGGGCGATAATAACATACCCCCCCTTTCCCCCTCTCTATTTTTAATTCCCGACCACGTGGATCTATACATGTGGAAGGCGCAGAGGCCGAATTCTTTACGCTTCGCGTATCCCCACCAGCCCATCTCACAACAGCAACTCTTGCGAAGCATGCCGACAGTCGTGTTTTGCAGGCGTGTGTCCGCTTGGCCCCGCAAATCTCCCCTGTTACTCCTTCCTCCCGCCTCCTTGTACATCCTCCTTGTGGGGGGAGCGGGAGAAGGACGAGGCGGAGGAGGAGGGAGAGAAAGCGCTCCTCGTGGTTTGAGTCGTTTGGGCTTTCTCGTCCTGGTGTGAGTCGTTCGGGCCCTTCTTCCTGGTGTGAGTCGTTCGGGCTCTTCGTGGTGTGAGTCGTTCGGGCTCTTCGTCCTGGTGTGAGTCGTTCGGGCTTCTCGTGGTGTGAGTTGTTCGGGCCCCTCGTCCTGGTGTGAGTCGTTCGGGCCCCTCCTCCTGGTGTGACTCGTTCGGGCTCCTCGTGGTGTGAGTCGTTCGGGGCCCTCGTCGTGGTGTGAGTCGTTCGGGCTCCTCGTGGTGTGAGTCGTTCGGGCGCCTCGTCCTGGTGTGAGTCGTTCGGGCCCCTCCTGGTGGTGTGAGTCGTTCGGGCTCTTCGTGGTGTGAGTCGTTCGGGCCCCTCGTCCTGGTGTGAATCGTTCGGGCTCCTCGTGGGGAGTCGTTCGGGCCCCCTCGTGGTGTGAGTCGTTCGGGCTCCTCGTGGTGTGAGTCGTTCGGGCCCCTCGTCCTGGGGTGGTGTCGTTCGGGCTCCTTGTGGTGTGAGTCGTTTGGGGTCTCTCGTCCTGGTGTGAGTCGTTCGGGCTCCTCGTGGGGCTTCTTGGGGGCCTCTTGGAGCCTCTTGGGGCCTCTTGGGGGCCTCTTGAAGGCCTCTTGGGGGCCTCTTGGGGGCCTCTTGGAGCCTCTTGGGGCCTCTTGGTGGCCTCTTGGGAGCCTCTTGGGGACCTCTTGGGGCCTCTTGGGGGCCTCTTGGGGGCCTCTTGGAGGCCTCTTGGGAGCCTCTTGGGAGCCTCTTGGAGCCATCTTGGGGCCTCTTGCGACCTCCTCAGAAGCGCAAATGAGCGCTGGCCCCTGAGAAGGACAAAATGAGGCCAACACCTTCGTAAAATCAGTGATTTTGCTATGAAGGAAGAGGAGCGCGGCCCCCTCAGAAGGCCAACGTGGGGCCAAAACCTTAGTAAAATCAATGTTTCTGCTTCAAAGAAGAGCAGAGGGGCCAAACCCCCCCCCCCTCGGGGCCAGAATCCTCGTGAGGGTCGTCATTTTTTTGACCCTCCCAGGAGTCGAAAAAGACCCCCCTGGCCACCCGCCGGGGCCTCTCTCCAGGCCCAGGGGGAGGGGGGAGGGGGAGGGGTAAACCCCTCCCCGAAGGGGAAGAAGGGGGGTTGAGGACAGAGCGGGCTCTCTAAACCACTCACGCCCAAAGGGCTGGTGGGACTTTATAATCCACGGGAAAGTTGCGGGGATCGAAGTTGCTATCATATCAGGCTGACCAGCAACAGTACCAAGAACGTTGAGCATGGCCACGGTGGTCTTGTCACACCAGCTTCCGCAATCACGAGCGTGTGGCAGGGCTGTGGGATCCCACCTCAACCTCATCATCCTTCAGATGGGCGTTTTTTTCTTATGTTCCTCTTCTTTTATGTTTCGGTTCAAAGTTGCTATCGCTTCGTGCTGACCAGCAACAAAAAATGATATGCCTTTTCATCCTTCTTCTTTTCCGTTTGCCTCTCGTCCGTTTCTCTTTGTTTTTTTTTCCGCCCCCCCCCCCCCCCCCCAAGGGCAGATTTTTGTTCATCTCCGGGTTTTTTATCCCCCGCGGGGCCCCACCATGGACCCCCTTCCTTGCGCTCCTGAAAACGATTAAAAGTCAATCTGTTTTCGCACAAACACACAAAAAAACATAAGGCCCCGAATCCATTTTTTCAAAATCGATCCTGGGGCCATCCTCTTCTGTCTTCCGTCCCCCACCATGTTTATTTCTCTCTTCCTGCTTGCGCTCCTAGTAGTAATATTACAATCAACCCGCGTGGTAGGGACGAACAGTCTTGCTAGACCCAGGCATTATTGCCACTTCGGCCCATCTCTGGGCCTTGCAGGGGGCTTTGCATCTTCGCCGCCCATCCTTACTACGCGACTCGACTGTAATACTACGAGCATTCCCTCCCCCCCCCCTCCCCATGCAGGAGCGACTAGCGGCCGCGCGCCGAGAGCTTGCGAGCGCCGAGGGCGAGCCCCTCGCCCCGCACGACTTGGGCCTCGCACGGAGCCTCGAGATTTCTCGAGTCAGCTTTGCGCCGAGCGCCTCCTGTCAAGTTGTATAGCCACGAGCTTCGAGAGCTCTCGAGTCAGCCTTGTGCCGAGCGCCTGCTGGCAAGTTGTATAGCCGCGAGCATCGGGATCTTTCGAGTCAGCCTTGTGCCGCGCGCCTGGTTAGCCACGAGCCTCGAGATCTCTCGAGTGAGCCTTGCGCCGTCATCGCCATCAACATCATCATCGTCACCATCATCATTATCATACCTTACGTTCCTTGGGCAACTCGTTTATTATCCCCGCCATAACCCCGAACTTTATATCCCCGGTGGGTTAGTATCGCCCAGTTTCGGTTGCATTTTTTTAGACAGGGGTGTTTGGGGGTGTCGGCATGGGTTCTGGTTGGTTGCCGGTCGCATGGGCGAGGGGGCGTCTGTTGTTAATTAGTGGTGAACTTTCCCTGAAGGGGAAGAAAGGGGTTGCAAGAGGAAACGTCATGAACCACCTACGCCTTGAAGGGGTGGTGGGATTACGCGTTCTGTTTCATGTTTCTGGAGTGCGGAATTGTGGTCCCGGGACCGGACGCCTTAGTAGTGTCCCAGGGCTGTGGTTTCGCTAGCGCGCACGGAATGGTGGTTTCGGAAAGACGGGCGCGAAGTATGTTACGAATGACTGTGGTTTCGGGAGTGCGAACACGACGATTTTCACAAGGGGTGCGTGTGGCTTCGGGAGCGCGAGCGCGCAGTGAAGCACAAGGTTTGGTCGCAGACGTGCAAGCTTGTTGTAAGTTGCAACGGGTAGTACGTAGTGACGTCGGGAGCACGATCTTGTCGCATGTTACATGTAGCTGTGGCCGCGGGAACACGAAGTCGTTCGGACGTGTTGAATATTGCGGCTCCGGGGGCGCACACTTCTGAATGGTGTACGAGGGACGGCGGCCTCGGGAACGCGAGCCTATCTCTTTTTTTGATTCGGAGCTGTGGCCAGGAGAGCGCGAGCGCGTACTGATTCTCGGGAGGTGTGTGGCCTTGAGGGCGCCAGGCGGTTGTAGGGTATGAGGGATGTTGGATGCTGGTCTCGAGTGCGCGAGTATGCCTTCGTGGTACGCGTCCTGGCACCCCCGGACATTTAGAGCCCGCGATTCTGGGAAGGTCACGGGCTGTTTTTCAGCTTGGGGTGTTCGTGCGCATGCCAATACAACCGTTACAACATTGGAACCACAAGTCCGACACTAAAACATCGGGAATGTAGATCGCTGCAGGGAAACAGGGACACCTAGGCCTCGCATTTTGTTGGCCTTAGAAGGGGCTGGTGGACTCATGGAGGAGATGGATGGGGGAGGAAGGTATGGGTGAGGAGGAGGAGGATGGAGAGGAGGAGGAGGAGGAGGAGGAGGAGGAGGAGGAGGAGGGAGAGGAAGAGGAGGAGGAGGAGGAGGAGGAGGAGGAGGAGGAGGAGGAGGGGAGAGGCAGAGGAGGAGTCGGAGGAGGAGCTGGAGGAGGAACGGCAGGAGGATCCACAGTAGTAGTCGGAGGGGGGGGGTCAGGACAGAAGCAGGCGACCTTCGTGGACAGCTGCACGAGTGGAGCTGCGAGGGGGAGTCTCACGGGCGTGCTGCACAGCACCCGCAACAGCAACTTGCATCTTCGCGGTTTCTTTCATTGCCCGTTGACTTTTGAAGCCTTCTCTTCCGCTTCCTCCTTGACCTAGTTCCTCCCCCTCCTCCTCCTCCTCGACTTCCTCGACCTCCTTCTCCTCCTCTCTTACCCCTCCTCCCCTCAGAAAGGTCTAAGATGCTGTCTTTCTGCGACGCTGGCTACCTCATGGGCATGGGCTGCACCGAGCAGGGCTGCGAAAAAAACAAGGACGTCCTTGAGGATGAGGAGGGGGGAATGGAGCGGGACAGCGGAGAGGAGGATAGAAGACGCCTATTGCGAATCACCGCCGCCCCCTGCTTTTTTGGAAACGCCTATGTGGCCGAACTTTGAGGCGAGACCTGCCAAGTTATCGGACCATGTGTTCCCCAAATCGGTTTGCTGGAAAGCCTTCGGGAAGCACGTGGGCATCTTGAAGGTCATGTTGGCCGTCGGGAGGCCAGTTTGACCCTTTCGGGCCTTCTTGGGCGACGTCTTGGAGGGCTCTTGCCATCTTGAGCGTCTTGGCGGCCTCTTGGGCCGTCCTGGGGGCCTCTTTGGGCCGTCTGGGGCTACTTCGGGGGCACGCGGGCCGTTTCGGGTAGTCGGAAGGCCTAACAAAAAAACAAATGCTACAATCCTTCAACAACTCATGGGACATCAATGATTTTGGCCTTTCTGGTCCTTCCTGGAGGCCTTCTTGGAGGCCTCTTGGGCCGTCTTGGGCCATCTTAGGGCCAACTTCGGCCGTCTTGGTTGGCTCCTGGCCCATCTGACGCCGTCGGACGCCGTTTGGGGGGCCTCTGGGCCGACTTGGGGCCCTCTTGGAATGCTCCAGGGCCGTCTTGGAGGCCATCTTGGGCGTCTTGAAGATCTCCTGGGCCGTCTTGGGGGCCTCTTGGGGCCGCCTTGGGGGCCTCTTGGGCCGTTCTAGGGCCATCTTGGAGGCCTCTAGGGCGATCTTCGGGTGATCTTTGGAGGCTCTTGGGCCGTCTCGGGCCGTCGGAAGGCCGATTGGGCCGTCTTGGGCCAGCTTCGAGCCAACTTCGGCCATCTTGGTGGGTTCCTGGCCCGTCTGACGCCGTCGGGAGCCGTCTTGGCGGCCTCTCTGAACCGACTTGGGGTCCTCTTGGGGCGTTTCGGGGCCGTCTTGGAGGCCATCTTGGGCGTCTTGGAGGTCTCTTGGAGGTCTCTTGGGGCCCTCTTGGGGCCGTGCTGAGGGCCTCTTGGGCCGTCATGGGGCCATCTTTGAGGCCTCGTGGGCGATCTTGGGGCGATCTTGGTGGCCTCTTGAGCCGACGGAATGCCGAGAAGAAGCAAATGCCCGAATCCTTCAAACGCCTAGGGAAAGTCAATGTTGTTGGCCTCTTCGGGCCCTCCTGGAGGACATCTTGGACTCTCTTAGGCCGTCTTGGAGGCTATCTTGAACCATCTTCGGCGGACTTGGAGGCCACCTGGGACCATCTTGGAGGCCATCTTTGGCCAACGTGGCCATCTTGGAGGCCATCTTGGGCCGTCTTGGATGATTTTCCGGGAATTGAGCTCCGTGAAGATAGTCCGGGAACATATTCTTGGCATTCCACATTCATACGTGTCCAGAGTAAGCAACGTGGAGGTTCTGAATAAAGCGCAGGAGACACCTCTGTCTGAACTTCTGCTTGACAGACAACGGAAGCTCTACGGCAAAATAGCTGCAAGTGGGGACCACTCGTTGGTGAGGAAAATCGTATGTCAAAACAACGGTGCACCTCAAAATTGGGCAGTTCGTCGTCGTCGCGGTCGGCCCCGGCAGCAATGGGCATCTGAAGTGTACAAGATGACGCAGTAGCTGTGATCAGCCATCCTGTTTTCTTTGCCAGTTGTTGTATCCCCTCCTCCTCCTCTCTCTATCTCTCTCTCTCTCTCTCTCTCTATTCCTCTTCCCATCGCTACAATGTTCGACGTACTTATGCTTTCATTATCTCACTCGGCTGCCTATGTCGCAACTTCGAGTATGCCGACGCGTCCTTCAGGATGCATGGCCTTTGCTTGCCTGCATGAAGATCGTCCCGGGACCCCGGCTGGACGGGCCGAAGCCCCAGGGGGATTCTTTTTGGACAAAAAAAAAAAAACCAAAATAATTTGGCACGCCAGGCACCCCTGCGATGAATCGACAGGGGGCGGCGGATCGAAGACGCCTACGGCGAATCACCGCCGCCCCCTGCCTTTTCGGAAGCGCCTATGTGGCCGAACGTTGAGGCCAGACCTGCCAAGCTATCGGACCATGTGTTCCCCGAATCGGTTCGGAAAGCCTTCGGGGAACACATGGGCATCCTGAAGGTCATCTTGGCCGTCTGGAGGCCATTTTGACACTTTCGGGCCTTCTTGGAGGACGTCTTGGAGGGCTCTTGAGCCGTCTTGGAGGCCATCTTGGGCCGTCTTGGGGGCCCCTTGGGGCCGTGTCTTGGGCCTCTCGGGCGACCTTTGGGAGCACTTGGGCCGTCTCGGGCCGTCGGAAGGCAGAAAAAAAGGCAAATGCCACAATCCTTCAAAAAAAATGGCAAATCAATGAGTTTGGCTTTTTCGGGCCTTCCTGGAGGCCCTCTTGGAGGCCTCTTGGGCAGTCTTGGGCCATCTTAGGGCCATGTTCGGCCGTCTTGGTGGGCTCCTGGTCCGTCTGACGCCGTCGGAAGCAGTTTGGGGGGCCTCTATGGGCCGACTTGGGGTCATCTTGGAATGCTCCAGGGCCGTCTTGGAGGCCATCTTGGGCGTCTTAAAGGCCTCCTGTGCCGTCTTGGGGGCGTCTTGGGGCCGCCTTGGGGCCCTGTTGGGCAGTTCTGGGGCCGTCTTGGAGGCCTCTTGGGTGATCTTTCGGCGATCTTTGGGGACTCTTGGGCCGTCTCGGGCCGTCGGAAGGCCGAAAAGAAGAAAATGTCAAACTCCGTCAAAAACCCAAGGAACATCAAATGTTTGGCATCTTCTGGCCTTCCTGGAGGCCCTCTTGGGGGCCTCTTGGGCCGTTTTGGGCCAGCTTCGAGCCAACTTCGGCCATCTTGGTGGGTTCCTGGCACGTCTGACGCCGTCGGGAGCCGTCTTGGGGGCCTTTCTGGGCCAACGGGGGACCCTCTTTGGGCGCTTCGGAGCCGTTTGGAGGCCATCTTGGGCGTCTTGGAGGTCATCTTGGGCGTGTTGGAGGCCTCTTGGGCCGTCTTGGGGCGCTCTTGAGGCCCGTCACGGGGCTCTCTTGGGGGCCTCTTGGGCGATCTTGGGGGCCTCTTGGGCCGTCTTGAGCCGTCGCAATGCCGAGAAGAAGCAAATCCCCAAATCCTTCAACAATCTAAGGAAAATCAATGATTTTTGGCTCTTCGGGCCCTCCTGGAGGACCTCTTGGAGGCCTCTTGGGCCGTCTGGGAGGCCTCTGGGGGGCCTCTTGGGCCGTCTTGGACTCTCTTGGGCCGTCTTGGAGGCCGTCTCGGACCATCTTGGGCGGACTTGGAGGCCATCTTGGGCCATCTTCGCGATTTGTTGAGGATGTCCCCCGAGCGAAACCGCAGTTTCAGGGAGCCGTCTTGGGCAGGAACGTGGGGAATTGAGCGCCTTCCGGGTGGCCGGCGGGACGGACTCCCGAAGCCCCAGGGGGAGGTCTTTTGGAAAAAAAACCAAAACCAAAACCGAACGGGTCTAGCACGCCAGGCACCCCTGCGATGAATCGACAGGGGGCGGCGGATTCCAGTGGCTTGCGGCCCATCCCGCCACCGTGCTTGGGTTGTGGGTAAGGGGTTCCTTGGATGCTTGTTGGGGTCTCTTGGCAAGTATCTGGGGAGCCTCTTGCAGGCATTCTTGGGAGCATGTTGGGGGTTTGCTGTGATACTGGGGCCCCCCTTGAGGCGGAAAGCTCGAAATCTCAGTTCGAGTTCCCCGTCTTGGCTCCATCTTGATGCCCTCTTGGCTCCCTTCTGGGCCATCTTGGCCGCCCTCTTGAGCCGTCTTGGGGCCCTCTTGGGGGCATCTTGGGCTGTCTTGGGGGCCTCCTAGGCCGTCTTGGACGTTGTGGGGTCCTCTTGGGGTGCTCTTGGAGCTCTCTCGGGGCATCTGGTTGGCCACTTGTGCCGCTATGGGGCCACATGGGGCCGTCTTGAAGTTGTGTCGGATTCTTCTGGTGCTTTCTTTGGTCATCTGAGGCGCTTTGCGACACTCTCGAGGGCCCCCAGCAGTTCTCAAGAATGCTGGAACTTTTGGGGGCTTGCAGGAGCGGCTGGGAAAGTGTCGGTCTAGGCCCCCCATATGCCTCTCATGTCTCGGGGTTGCATGAGCCTTGGGGCACTCCACTACGTGCTGAAGCTATTGTGGCGTGGCGGATATGAGAGAGGCAGAGAGGAGAAGAGGACAAGTAATGAGAGAGGAGGGGGCGGGAAAGCAGAGAGGAGGAAGAGGAATAATGAGGAGCAGGATCATGTAGAGGGCAGAGGCGGATCATCAAGATGTGTACAGGGGGTAAGAGGAGGAGATGGAGGAAGCCAGCGAGAGAGATAGAGAGATACACACATACATATACATACATATATATATATATATATATATATATATATCGATAAGGAGAATGGGATGAAGGATCACCCTAAGGAGTCTGCTTGCATTTCGCTGCATGCTTTTAGCAAGTAGTTTTTCTTCATGCAGGGCAGTCCCTTTTGCTGTTTGTGAAAGTTTGAACAGAATGGGCAAGATACGGAGTTTGACTACCAGGAGGTGCAGGAACAAACTGTTTTTGTAGTGCCTGGGAGGCGTCAGGCGGGTATGCGGGAGGGGGGTCATCGGGAGTTCGGGGAAAAGTGAGGACGACATGCTCAGCGACAGCGATTTTCACGTCTGTTTGGGAAGGGCGCAGGGTTTCGTCACCTCCCCCGCGCAAGGGGGGAGGGCGGGGATTTCAGACCCCTCCCCCGACTCAGCGCAAGAGGGGGTGGGGGGGTTCTGAACGACCCCCTTTACTCGCGCCGGCAAACGACGACCGACGACGACGACGACCTCTCCCGCCCAATTATTCGCCGCTGGCAGACGACAACCGACGACGGCGACGACGACCACAACGACCACGACGCGTCGTCGTTTTCTGGCAGTGAGTGGGGGGGGGGTCCAGAACTACCCATTCGGAGGGGGACCTCTGCTTCAGGAGGGGAGCTATTGTTTTTCCCTGGGGGGAAAGAGGGGCCCCCGGTTTCGAGACTCTCTTTTCCAGCGTTTTCGAAGACATA